AAGCAAATACCAGAGTTTGCAACACCGATTACTAAAATTGTCCACTTTGTCAGCCAAAGAGGTGAGAGAAAACAAACCCAAAAACCAAAACATGGGAACTTTGAATAAACTGACCTGCAACGCACTATAACCTGCACGTTTACACCCTTATCCTTATCATACTTGGTGCTCGAATTCGAGTCGGCGGAGCGCAGATCTCGCGCTGACTTGTCGCTGGACCTCGGAGTCTGCGACGGGGATAGCGAGACCAAACCTCCCCTTCTCTGCAGGGACTGCGCAGAGTCCATACCTATAATGTCGTCCGAACGAACGAATAATTATAACCTGGTTCCAAGTGAATCAGCTCAAATGACCGAAAATCCTTCTCTCCTAAGAGTACCAAATTTAGAAGGAAAAAGTGAAAATGCAAGCCAAACAACTTGCACAAACACTGCAGGTTGCACAGAGACGAATTGAAAAACTAAACACCGAGCTGAAGAAGGCGGTGAATCGGCACAATGAGCGTAATCAAAGCACCGAATTCGAGGTCGGAAGCAATACTACGTCAGAATCTCGAGCTCGGACGATCCAAAGCAACGAGCATCAGGCTCGCGGAGCCGATCAGAGTCTCTAATCTACGCAAATCTCAATCCGCAAACACCGTCATTGCTCTCGGACATCGAAAAGAGAAGGAAGGAAGGAAGGAAGGGCAATCCGAAGATGAGAGAGGCGCCGAACGATGCGAGCCGGGAGCCACACGAGACACCGATCTACACCTCCGGCGACGAGAACGGAAGCGCTCGCGCATCGGGAGCTAGGCGCGGTTCGCATCGCGCGAGCGATCGAAAATCTGAGGGAAAAAGCGGGGGACAAACAAAAGGACAAAAAAAGCTTACTGATTACAGACGGCAATGGCCGGACGGCGAAGAGCGGAGAGGAGCGCCTGATTCGATGGCGCAGGAGAAGGAGGAGGAGAAGAAGAAGATGCAGAGCGCGTGAGAGAGAGAGAGAGAGAGAGAGAGAGAGAGAGAAGGGCAGTGCGAGGCAGTGAGGTGTATGCAAATGGCGAGAGTGTAGGGAGAGAGAGAGAGAGAGAGAGAGAGATATCGCGCTACAAGCAATGGCGTTGTGCGTGTGTATGCGCATATATGAAATATGAGAGAGCTCGTGAGAGAGAGAGAGAGAGGAATGGACGGCATTGGACGGCCGGTGTTGACGGCGTTAGCGCGATTTCTTCTTCTTCTCCTTCTTCTTTTTCTTTTTTTTTTATTATTTTCGTATCCGACCGTTGAAGAAACTTGGACGCGAGAGAGAGACGGAGAGAGAGAGAGAGAGAGAGAGAGAGCGCTTTTTAATCATTTTTGAAAACTTTTGAAACCCCCCCCCCCCCCCCAGCTCAACTGGATAATGGCCCTTCGTATTTTCCTTCGTATCTCGAATTTTAGCCGATCTTCGCTGTTTAATTTACATTAGGGAAAATGTCAATAAAAAAAAAATCCCAAGCTATGATAACTGTGACACATTTATTTTGAACTTTTTTTTTCCGTGGAACCAAAAATTTCCAAAAACTTCTGCCTATATAAGTTCCATCAATAAGCAAGCGGCGTTTACATAGAGCTCATGGGGCTTAACTAAAATGAAATCATGTTATTTTGATTGAAAAATCATCTTACAAAATCTTAACAAAAGAGAGTAAATGTATCACATAATTACAAGTCTGAGGTTTTTTTATGTCGCAAAAAAAATTAAGGTAAATGTGCCACGATGGGTATAGTTTGAAATTTTTAATGTCACAGACTGTATCACAAGCATAGTTTGTTTGATATTCTTTTGTAGCTCTTTTCCTTTACATAGTATTATTATGCTTCGGTTAATGATACCAAAAAACGAATAGATTAATAATGTTTGCGCATATGTATTATTATGTACTCCGAGCCTTTCCTATGAATTAAGGGAATGTGGGCCCCGGTGGCAATATTGAGGTCGTGGTCATGTACAGACAAGATAGATAGGGCCAATCTTGTCTCCAGTTTGAAGAATTCTCTTTTCGACAGTTTTTGTCTCTCAAATAATTCGGAAGACAAATTGACCATGCCTTGAAGATAAGTTAAGGGGGGGGGGGGGGGGGTTGGGTTTGGAGTGTCTTCCAAAACTGGGTAATGAATGGGGAGGATCGGTTCATCTTTGCAGGCCCATCATGCGGTAGAATCATTTGAAGCTCGAGCACGGCATTTCATACCAGATCCAAGAAGGTGCTCGCAAGGGAAGAACATGAATGCACCGCATTTCATTGAAAGCTTCCGCGTAGGATCAGAAACACTGAGCCATGCCTGGCTTAAGGATCTGTCTGTTACCAATGCTTCTGACTGTAATTTTTATGTATGTTTCCGCTGGGCTAGTGGTAGGTCTCTGGTTGGACAGAGGAACAGAAAGAATGCAGCGTGGACCCATCTTTCTCATGTGCTGCATATAGCGCATGAAGTTGTGTAACCTAGAGAATTGATTGCGAATAATGCACACGGATCACGGCGTCTTTCGACGCTCCGCCGTCGGAACCCGAAACCCGAACATCCGCAATGACTGACCGAGAGACTAAAGATTCGAGTTTGTGCGCCTAACGATTACACCGAAACTTGGTAGTTGAGAGGGGGGCGAAGCCCACGGCCAGCCCGGCTCGAGGTCCGCGGGCGCAACACTCGTTCAAAAAAATATCTGAATTTTTTTACAATGGCTCCGCTTCTTTGCAAGAGTAATCTGGAAGGCAGTGGGTGAAGAAGCAATTTTTCAGTGCAAATGTCCAAAACCAAAGCAAGTGTAAAAGTGGTGAGGAATTGGGTGATTGGGGGGAAAGGAGAGCAGGTGGGGATCGGGGTGTGGTGGCAAAGTTGCCCCACGTGATAAAGAGTGATGGTGAGTGAGCACATGATTTTGGAGCCTGCTCGATGCCCTTTCTTTCCACATCTACATTTATATAATTTATTTATTTATTGAGTGAGTGTGCAGAATTTGCTTTGGCAGCCCTCACTTTCCTCTGTAATTCAACTGTCATTGCCTCATCTTTCAGTAGCTTCATGGCCAAAACAAACCCAACACTCTGCCTTTTGACAGTCCTTGTTTTTTTCCTTTCTTTTGGCAGAGACAAGCATTGGTTACCTAACGAGCAGTTGCTTCTGCCATGATTGCCAAATTGGCGATGTGTGCTCAAGTCCCTCCGAGACTCTCAGTTACCTCGGGCTTAACAGAAAAAAATGACGAGTTTCCTTGCTTTTCCTCTACTATGCAAAATGATCAGCATGTCATAGGAAAGTGGTCCCATGTACTGAAATTGTACATCAATCAAACCGTTCGAAGCCTGCCACATTCTATGAATATCAATGACGGGTCGAGGAAACTGGCGATGGACATCGACCATTTTGACAACTTGGTGTTTGATGCAATTTTTACCAAATTAATATTACAAACAATCCGCGAAATTTTCGTATCTTCCGCTCTAACTGGGTATGGCAATTTTTGCATCCCCTCCTACCTAAGGTAGATGATGTTTCACATAACAATTTGGAAAATTTCTTACTCATCATTCTTTCCTCTTGTAGACTCTAGTCTAGGCTCAAGAACAAGAAGGGGTCGCTTGGTCAGCATCAGTTTCAAGTAGGGCAGAGACATGAAGTAGCTCTTACTTTCTGTGGCATCACATGTGTATTGGCGTGAGCCGTACTCCATGTATTATGCAGCGTATGCTTCACTTCATTCCCTTTGTAACTTCTCATCACAAACTCAAAACTCACCGAGAGACCCTCTCACTGACAATTCTCTCGAAAGAGGAATCGATTCTTTCCTCACAAAATTCACTGCTGCTTCTTCAAACCCCTTTCAAGTCCCCTTTAGAGAGGACAAACGAAAAAGGAGCATTTCGGCGTTCGCTCGACCGCGCCCGTGAAACCGACGCACGCGAGTCGACGGATATGGCATGAGTCGCACGATCCAACGACTTGGCATGAGTAAGACGCATGCGGATGTTCGAGCTAATGAAGAGTGGATCAGCGAGGACTAACAGCGATGAATCCAACTTTCAGGAAGCGAAAAGAGAGGGAAAAAGGAGATGGTGAATCAATTAAAGAACTAAAAGTATCCAAAGCATTGGGTCGCAATGTAATTATGCGAGTAACGTGCGATTAATGATGATTAGACACATGGAATGTGACAAGGCGGTTGAATTTGTTGGACCCGAGTAAAGAGACATGGGCCAAAGCTGGTCCACCCGGAAAGTGTAGATGTGGGCTCTTGGGAGGACCTAACTAGATAATGGGCCAGCACCTAACGTACTGTGGAAAAACAAGGGAAAAATCTTCAACATAAAAAAAAAAAGACAAAAAAAGGAAGAAAGAGAAATGAGCAAATTTTTCATTTTTCTTTTTACTATCAAAGCAATTGATTCGGCCTCTTCGAAGAGATCTAAAATCGACAATCGAATTGGACGGTAACAGAAATAAATATGATAGCGAGAATGAAAATTTTAATATCAAAACTAGCCATTACTTGATAGCATTAAATGCCTGAACAAGTACTAGAGCAAATGAATGTCAGCTTAGTAGTAATGGCGACACACCTTTCTCGATTCGAAAGCAATCAAGTCCTTTCCCGATCTTATTAAAGCAACTTCCTTTCAAAACAATGATAAGCAAGACGATAATAATCCAAACACCACGCTATTTCGCCGCAAAATAAACGCGCCCTTTGGACCTCGAAAGCTTGCGAAGCTTAGTAGACGCATATCCAGAGGTGTGAAGCACATGTCTTCTTGGAGTGTCAGCAAAAGGTATGTGCAAGAACAGTTGGTTGGTCTTGCTCGGTCCAACCAAGAGACCTTAACCTTACTCAGTACGACCCCATCCCGAATGAATTATTCTCTCTCAGGAACGTGTTCGGCTGTCCACTTGTCATCTTATGTCTTGACAGGATCACATATGGACCGAGCGTTTCTTGACGTTTTGGTAGGTGACGCCTTCTCGAAACATCAGATTGTTGAGTCGTCGATGAATGATCCATTAATGGCCAGAATATGCTGCCGAATTCGGGCGTCAAGATTCAAGATGCGTCGTGCTGTTGACCGATAAAAGTTAAATAGGTACAATGGAATCTGTTTCCTGACTCAGTTTTGAGACAGCTAGTGGCCAAGATTAGTGCTGCTTTTGGATATCGCTAGGCGGCTAAAACTAGAAGCAGCTAAACATTCGTAAGGACGAAATCAGCCAATACGTTCAAGCCCCTCTTATTATATAAAGCATTGCAGATGAGGAACTGGTCGTGAGTTCAGAGAGTGTACACACGACACAGAGCAAACATGGAGTTTCGCGGTGCCCTCTCGAGCACTCTTTTCTTGCTCTTTCTCTACAGTACCAATGGTGAGCAAGCTCCACATCATTGGGACATTAGATGGGAGGAGTTCGTGTTGCTACATTGGGTTTTAGTGCATGCTTTCTATGTTTTTTGTTATGGCCTGGTTGAATGAGTTAAACTATGTTTCATTTCAACAATCCCTACCATAAGTAGGCACTTATGGCAACTAAAGATGATTATTCACATGATTAGCACGATGAAAGAAGGATATGTCAAGCAGCGAGGAAGAGTTTTTGTTAATCACTGACTGGATATATTCCACAACATTTCAAGTGATGTGGCTGAGGTCTACAGCCTTCAAAACTTGAGCAACTGCATTTGCATTTCAGTCTAATGGTTTCCGCCATTCCTTTCCGGATGCTTCATTTCTCATTGAAGTTGTGATTTGCAGCCGGCAATTCCAAGCTCTTCCGCGAGTACATCGGAGCAGAATCGGATACGATCCAACTATCTGACGTCCCCGTAAACTCGGAAGTCGAATTCCACTTCATCCTCGCCTTTGCAATCGACTACACGAGTGAAGACAACCCGTCTCCCACCAACGGAAAGTTCAACGTCTTCTGGGAAACCAACCATCTGACTCCTTCAGCTATCGCTTCTTTTAAGCAGAAACATCCGAACGTCAAGTTTGCCGTCAGCTTGGGCGGAGACAGCATCGGAAACAGCAACGCCTTTTTCGTTCCGAAATCCACAAACTCCTGGGTTCAGAATGCCATATCGTCGCTGACGGCGATGATCAAGGAATACCACCTCGACGGAATCGACATTGACTACGAACACTTCAACGTAAGTTCTAGCGTTTTTGCATATTGCATCGGGCAGCTCGTAACAAGGCTCAAGAAAAGCAGGGTAATCTCATTTGCATCAATAGCTCCGTATGAAGACATCCAAAACCATTACTTGGCTCTGTGGAAGAAATACGGGAGTTCCATCGACTACGTCAACTTCCAATTCTACGCGTACAACGACATCGGTGTCTCGCAGTTCCAGAGTTACTACAAACAGCAAGCTTCTAATTTTGAAGGGGGACAAGTCCTGGCCAGTTTCATGAGCAAAGGGGGAGGAGGACTCCACCCTAACGAAGGGTTTTTCCAAGCCTGCGAGGAGCTGAAGAACCAAGGAAAGCTTGGAGGCATTTTCATATGGTGTGCTGATGATTCCATAGGAAACCACTTCCAATTCGAGAAGCAATCACAGCAACTGTTGGCTGCATAACCATTGTGGTTCTTTTTCCTGCTTTTTGTTCGCTTTCCTCGTTTTCTTTGATGTACTTCTTGTACGAGGCCGGCTCACCGGACACTGTCCGTGTGGGCACCAAGTCTAGTCAAGAAAATAACTACCGTGTGCGCCAAGTCTAGGCAAGAAAAAACACCATCTTTTTCGAGATATACGAAACCACCTGTTATCAGCTGTGCGAACGCTGCATGCTGACAGTGACTGGCTATTTCCACTAGCTTGCTATTCATGTAAAGTGGCAGTCTAAGCATGAGCACGAATGAAATAAATCTCCTCTTCTCGTTCAAGACCAGTGGAACTATTTCAGTCCAAAACCTGAAAAGGAGAAGATTACCTCCTGCATAACAGATCATTTTGGAAAATAGACGCAAGTTTTGGCAACAGACATTAGGTTAAGAACTTAAGGCATGAAGTCATGGCTTCCAACGAAAAATTCGAGAAAACAAGACTGGAACCATGCGTCACCGAAGATAATTGAGGCTTGACCCCAAAAGAGAAATCGATAGATTCCAAATAGAAATGGAAGATTCGTCCAACCAACTTTGGTTCGGAAATGTCCGAGGCACAAACGAGGTGAAGCCACAAAGGCGAATGTCATACAAATTTTACATTCAGGTGCCTTGATGCTTAGTCTTATTAACCTGAAAATTTTATATTCTTTTAGATAGGACTCGCAGATGATGATGAATACGTTGAAACCACATCGTCCAGGGCCAGATACTTCAGGAGTCTACCCAACTGGCCAACGGACATAAATGAATAAATCTGGTTTAGTTTCAAAGCTTTGATTCAACATTTCAGGCTCAATCAAATTGAACCAAACTGAACCACAAATAGTCGTACATACAGAAACCTCAATCAAGCTTCTAGAGACTGTCAAGTTGATCAACCACACAACCAAAACCAAGGGCAAAATAACTCAAAACAGCACATTGAAACGACTTGCTTCAGCTTTGAGGAGATGAAAAAAATCCACATATCTTTAAGAAGTTGAAAGATGAGATTGGGGCAACTATATGTTCTAAGAAAATTCTACTGTTTAAACATATGAAAATGTTATCATTGACAATAATGCATTAACCATGCAATTGGAGCTCACAATGCCATTCTAAACGGGAATGGAACCAACAGCCAGGTAAAAAGTCAGTCATTCTTAACCTACGATTGGGCAAAAATTCCACATATCCCATTTTACGGTCTTCTTTTCCACGAATCTTTATTCTGCTTTATGTTTTGAAGACCTTTGTGCACCTGAATACCGCCATCCGCTCGTGCACCTTCCCACAAACTTGAGAACCTCATCAATTAAAATCACAGGTAAAGTAACAGCCAACACCAAGAGCCACTCATTCAGGCTGAGAGGAACGATGCCAAATATTTGAGCAAGGACCGGCACGTATAATATCAAGAAGTGCAGGCCAAATGAAACAGACATAGCCAGAAGAAGCCAGGGGTTGACCCATGGCGGCATGCTCAGAAGGCTCCCATCCTCAGAGAGGGCATTAAGGGAATTGAACATCTCGATGGCAACCAAGACAGAGAGGGAGAGAGTTGAGGCTTTGATTTTTCCAGCACGGAAATATTCACATGGATCTGACCGGTAGTCGAATACATTAGACCCAGCAGTGAAAGGTGTGACCGAAAAGCCTTCCCAAGAATGGCACTGACCCCAATTAGCAAGCTGTGAGTAAGTCACAAGGCTATGGCCATCTCCACTCAAATCAATGCCCAGGAATGCGTCGTGAGTATACCAGATGATGAATACGCCTACTGTTGCTATACCAACATAGAGCCCAATCACCTGTGGCAAACCAATTGCAAGGAATATGATGGAATTCATGTATTAAGCTGCACTATAATAAACATAAAAATCAAGGCTTCATAATTCAGAAAAAGGGCTCATACCAGATAGCGGAACAATATCCAAGCACTGATCAGTGAGTCGTCACTTCTTCTTGGAGGCTTCTTCATTATATCTTTATCTGGAGGGTTGAATCCCAGGGCTGTAGCTGGTGGTCCATCCGTGACAAGATTAACCCAGAGAAGTTGAACAGGGATCATGCCTTCAGGTATACCCAGTGCTGCAGTAAGGAAAATAGAGGCCACCTCTCCAATATTTGACGATATCATGTACCTGAAATTTTCATTTATGCAAGAATCATAAAGTCGCACTTTCATCAAAGGATTAATTATTTTTCAGCTAATTTATAATGGAGTTATAGCATTGCTCCAGTTAAAAAACTATTTCCATAGAAGACATACTAGGGATTGATTATGCAGATTTACATAAACAAGACATGTCTATGCCCCCACAAACCTCAGCTGTCTCTAACTAATTTCCCATAAAATAGTATGGTCCATTATATTCCATATGTTCAACAGCCAGTTCTACTTATTTACTAAGGTTTTAAGGTACTGTTAAAGGTGGTATGAAAAGAATTGCAAGAAGAAAAGAGAAGAAGCAATGCAATATTCTAGTCCTATTTTGTTGTTTCTTTACTAGTAAAGTTGAAAGCTTACTGCCCATTTTTTGCCTAACATGTCCATGAAGTGATTTTACTTCCACTATTATAATCAAGCTTCCTGTTTATATGACTGATTACTAGGTCACGTATAGATCATGTAATATAATTGATTCTTTAAGCAGGGACTTTCAAAAAAAGAGGTATCAATGCCGTTATGCCAATTGTAGATCTAACATCCTTGCTGCACAAAAGCGCACGCGCACCCATAAGTACTTGTGTCTTTAAGACAAAACTACAATGTAAGTTCACAACTGGTACATAACTAAAGCGAGAATAAACCTGATGAAAGCCTTCATGTTATTGTAGATTGACCTGCCTTCACCAACAGCAGCTACAATAGTGCTAAAGTTATCATCTGCTAGAACCATATCAGAGGCTTCTTTTGCCACCTGGAGTGATATCACACAAAGTAATGGAAGAACTTAGAAAAATGAAAGACATACGACCACAAGATCATCAGGTAGTTGTTAATTGTTCTAGCTAACTGATTAGCAGAGAGTAAAGCATCAAGCAAAGTTTGCTGGGCAGCAAAAATTAAACTAGACACTGCTGAGATCAGGTATTATTACAGTCCAATTCAAGGTTTAATATGAGACAAAAAAGGAGAAGCTCCCCACCAAGAGGCTGCAATCTCCATATTACGGTCATGGATGAAACAGACCGAACAATTCTTAGCTAGCATATGCCTAACATCCACAAAGTTCTGTTTTTTTTTTTGGGTCAAATACCATCCACAAGGTTGGTCACTCATTCTATGTTGCAGATTTACTAAGCCATGTGCATATCACACACCATTTGTGCTTCTGCTACTCACTAAACTGCATCAACCATCGTCTCAACCTGAAGGTTGTCAACCCTAGAGGTTTATCAAATTACATTTTAAGATGGCAAAAATACAATAGTAGTACCTCTGTTCCAGCAATGCCCATTGCAATACCAATGTCAGCCAATTTCAAGGCAGGTGCGTCATTGACACCATCACCAGTCATTGCAACAACTTCACCATCCTCCTTGAGCAACCTCACTATTTCTTGCTTATGCCGTGGTTCAGCCCTTGAAAACAATAGCCCTCCACTTTGTCTTAGATGATTTTTCTGATCAGGATGATTCATAAACTCTTTTCCTGTTAGACTCCTAGAGCTAATGTTTTCGTGAGATCCAAACACACCGATTTCATGACATATAGCTTCGGCTGTATTCTTATTGTCTCCTGTAATTACCATCACGCGTATTCCTGCTACTTTGCAGTCCTCAATTGCTTGACGGACTTCCCTCCGAGGAGGATCCTTCAATAATAAGTAATCAATTGAAATGTCAAGCTTGTGAATTCATGTACACAGATTTAAAAAACATTAACCCTAGAGCAACTAAGGAACCAAATATGAACGAGTAGCAAAGAGGCCACCTTACCCTTAGCCCAACCAAGCCAACAAAAATGAGATTACTCTCAATTGAAGAATAATTGTTTGGATTAAGTAAAAGCTCATGAGCTGGATGATCTTCATCACCATTGTAAGTAGCAAAAGCAGGGAGGTCCTCCTTGTATGCAAAGCCTAGACAACGCAGTGCACTAGTTGACATTTCAAGAAGGCTTTCTAGAATTTGATCCCTGCCGTACTGATCCAACTCTACCACGGAACCGTCCAGGAGCTGAACAAAGGAGCTTCTTTCAAGAACATTTTCCACAGCACCCTGTCAAATCTCAATAAAATAAGTGAACAACACAAAGAACTCGACAAATATGAGTGTTTCAATCATCCCCATCATTTTCTATGCAACAGTAGTATATGATAGCATTCCCAACAGAGAGAGGGTGGGCACATGAGATAAGCCTTCCCCTCTCTTTTTCTCTCTTTTCTTCTCACCAAATTAACACAGAACATGTCACACCAACTAAAACCTACAATTGCTAGTCAACAGTATAAACTAAGTGACAGATGTAAGAATATGGATGCAGCAAAATTGATATTCTCCTTGACACAAGAGTTCAACCTAAGCGAAATTTTCTTGGATGAAATCTATTTGGCAGATCCTTGATTTGCAATAATGCTTTTATTCATTGTGTATTTTCCTTTAACAGCAGAACTTCACATGATTTAGATCATCTTTCTCAAATTACTGAAAAGAGAAGTAGCAATTAGATTTTTACACCATACTAGATACATGGAAAACATATAAAAACTTAGCACGTAGCCAGGTAATAATACCGGTACTTGTAGAATATATTCATCATCTTCCAATTATTTCCAAGAGAGGGGCGCAAAATTTTTGGCAGCTTGAGCACAATCTAACAATATGATTTTAATGAAGGAGCATTATTTTTTTATTATTGTCAGTGATCTCCAAAACACGGAAAGATTGCTATACCTTCACAAGCAGCATCTTTTTTGCAGAGCTTGAATTTGCAATAACCCCCATGGATTTTCGGACATGATCAAACTCAAGAGTAGCAAACCGTTCTTCAAGTTTATTCCACAGTTGGCAACAACCTTGATAAAGGACATTTTGTTGAAATGACAATTAAAAAAAAGAGTGTGTCAGTGCCCAAGAACAGATCAAGAAAACCATTCAATACAATGATGAGGAAACATACGTAGTACATCACTTTGGCCAGAAGACAAGCCATCCTCAATGCCTCCAGGAAATCCCATTTTCTCAACCAAAACCTGTTTTAAGATAAAACAGGCCACTGAGAACCTAAAAGACAACCATACCATCTCCAGAAACTGTATTAGCCAATTCAAGCAAAGCATGTTTCCCCAGCAAGCTACTGGTTACATGAAGCTGGCATATCTAACAGTAATGCCTTGTTTTTTTATATTAAAAAAGAAAATAGAATTTCCCAATCATTTTCCATCGAAAGATGAATCCCCGAATTAAAATGAATTCAAGAATTTGCAAGTTCAAAGAGAGAAAGAAAATGCCCTGTCCTTAATCGAATTCTGCTAGAACAGATTTTAAGCAAGAGAAAGAAAGCTTGAAACAAGAATGGGTTTTTCTAAAGTTTCACCTTTAATGCTGCCTCAGTGGACATTCCACTGGCTACAAAATGATTTCCAGATTTTTCTACACCAGCATCATTGCAAACAGCAGCAATCTTTGCGATCATTTGAAGATTAGCATCCATTCGCCCCATGGGCCAGTCCTGAATTTTTCCATCAAAAGGATCATAGGTTGTCCCTTCCACAGTGAATGACCGTAGATCACCAGGCTGAGAACCCATAGCAACAAGCTTTGTCGCTGACATCTGATTCGTGGTCAGAGTACCCGTTTTATCAGAGCATATGACTGTTGTACAGCCAAGAGTCTCGACACTAGGCAATTTTCTAACAAGAGCATTCTTTTGTGCCATTTTCCGCGTGCCAAGTGCCAAACATGTTGTAATAACAGCTGGCAAACCTTCAGGAATTGCAGCCACTGCTAAGGCAACTGCTATCTCAAAGTAATACGTGCACTTCTCAAAAGAGAACTTGAAATTTTTAGGCCACCCATCCACGTATTCCCACGTAAGAAAGTACTTCACATTAATAAGCCACACGAGTGCACAGACCACTCCAATTATTGATGTTAAAGCCTCTCCAAACTCATTCAGCTTTTTCTTTAAAGGAGTATCCTCCTCACTTTGTGATGCTTCATGGATTTGTGAGTGCACCTTACCTATCTCCGTGGTCATTCCTATCTGCGTAACCAAGCAAAAACAATTCCCATTCACAACAGTTGTCCCAGCAAAAACCATACACTTCTTTCCCTGAATGTCTGAATTCTCTGGAACTACTTTAGCAGTCTTGCTAACTGCCTCACTCTCTCCGGTGAGAGATCCTTGTTCGACCCTAAAGGTCGAGCTTACAAGATTCAACACCCGCATATCAGCAGGAATTTTATCACCAACCTTCAACTCCACAATGTCACCTGGCACGAGTTCCTTTGCGGTCAAGTTTGGTATCTTCTTTCCATCCCGTATAACAGTTGCCTGCTCCGATTGGATCTCTTTCAATGCCTCTAGCGCTTTCTCTGCATTGTTCTCTTGCCAAATTCCAACAATGGCATTCACAATCAAGATCAAGAAAATCACAAGGGGCTCCACAAATGCAGTAATTTGCATCTCTCCACCTTCCTCACCATCCAACCAAGCCAAAACAAACGACACAACAGCGGCAGCCAGCAAAATCCTAACTAAGGTGTCGCTGAATTGATCCAAGATCAGTTTAAAAATCGACACACCCTCATGCTTCTCCAACTCATTATACCCATAAATCTGTCGCCTCTTTTCCACTTCTTCAGATGATAATCCTACGACTCGGTTAACCCGGTATTTCTCTTCACACTCTTGCGGGTCTTTAGACCACGCTGGAAAAACATCTCGGTCGGATGGCGGAATACTTGAACTTTCTCCCTTCCCGTAGTCTTCGCCTCCCTTCCCCATTACTGATCAGTTTTTATCGATTTCTCAAGACACTCGGGCAAACCGATTATATCCAATCGGAAATGGAAATTTCACCGGGAACTGATACGATCATTAACTGTCCACGAAAAGTCAAGCTCAGAATTAGGGATTGCCGGAAACATCTAGCAATCCGAGAAACGTAAATATAAGAACCCAAAAGAAAAGGCCAGTCTATCGTGTGACAGATCCGGAACACTTCTCCAGCCCCTAGGGACAATTCCTTTCTTGGTGCAGAGAAAGAAAAAAAAAATCGTCAAAAGGAACCCCTGACTATGACTAACGATGGAAATGCACCAGCGAACTTAAAAAAAAGTAGCAAAGCCCAAGGCGGCTGTTGCTACACCAATGCTCCGATTAGAAGCGCAAGACGTCGACAGACGGACAACAACCACACTCTCTCAGGCAACATCACACTGCTCGAAAGCCAAAACTCGACCAGATAACTCATAGACAGGGACGACGAACCCAGGAAAGCGACCCGAATCGAGAGAGAGAATCTTCTCACCCGGCTCCCACAAAACAGCAGGCGGCGCCGATCCTTCGAAGGCCTCGAATCGACCGGGATTTCACCGTAGGGTTCCGAGATCTCTGCTCAATCGAAGCGCAAACGGACGAAACGAAAATCGTTAGGCCTTCCCCTAAACAACGAATCGATCGCGAAAACGACCGCGAGGGCGCGAGAGATTACCACCAATCGGCGATCGCTGCTGATTCAAGCCCGCACCGAATTCGCTCGCTCCGCGGCGGCCGAGGACCCCCGAGAGAACAGCCGCGAGCGGATCTGGCGGAGGAGGACGACGGCGCTCCTTACCATAGAGATTTAGAGAGACGGAAGGCTCGGCGGACGAGACGATCACCCTGGGGGAGCGATTCCTTTGCTTACCACCTCACAGTTCGCACTTATGGCTCTCGGCTCAGGCGCTTGCTGTGGAAGTATCTAGATTCATCGCGTGCGCCCTCCAATGGTGGGTCGCCACGTAGGGGGAGGTGACGTAAAAGCTGGTCTTTTGGGTTTGCGAAGAGCGTTGTGTGTGTGCGCGCGCGGCGGTACCACGGACTAGTTTAAGGCGACGCACGAAATGTAGGGACAGAGATCATCAGGTCAGAACGTATTTTAAAATTCACGATTAAGGATTAATTAAGGGTTAATTAAGTGGTTAGACCGTTCACGCCTTTTTCGGAAGGTTCGCGGAAGCTCCCCCTCCTCCTCCTCGCGCCACATAACGAGATGCCGCCGGGGGTTTTTGCGGATGCGGGCGTCCCTACCGTGGACTCTCGGCATATTCTCTTTGTGCTTTATGCCTCGATCCCGTTTACGATTTTTTTTATATTTATATAATTTTTTTTTTGATAACCCAGGGAACCCCGCACGGCCGATAATGCAGAAACCCCAAGCGACAGCGACAATCTTCACCACACACGTGCCACCGATTAAGCCTCGCCCTGCGGCGCCGGATTCGAACGCTCAATCTTTTTGCGAGAGGAAGAGCGTCCGCTCCAGCGACGCCATCCAGGCGGGTGGTATATTTATATAATTTGTACTATGGCAATTTATTTTTTGATGGGTGCGTGTTTAAAGTTAGGAGGGCATCGTCGATGTTGAGTGGGGTGGCTGGCTAGGACTTTTTCTAGCACGGGACGACCTTTCATGCTACGCTTGGAATCGATCGAGGTGGGGGTGGAAAAATTTTGCTTAGTGGGGGAACCACGATGGGTTTTAAAGTTACGAGAAATTTCCCCGACGTTTCTTATTTCCTTATTTCCCACTACCGCTTTTGTAACCCCCTCCTTTCTGTTTTTTTTTTCCTGCTTTCCCAAAGGAGAGGTTTTCCCGAGGAGAAGGTTAGGCGCTCCGTGAATAGCACGAGATAATTTAGACCCATCAAAGTGGGTTGTATCCTCGTTTTCTAACTTATGATTGATCAGCTGAGTTGTTATGTAGATTGATCGTATTCGGTAAATAAGTCGTAAAAGGATTTAGAATGATAAAGCCTAATGTATTGTGAGTGTTAAATGAGTTCACGCCTTATTTAAATCAAACCCACCTCTTTGAGTCTTAATTCACTTTTTTTTACCCTCACTTAATCTTGCGTTCATTCACTGTGCACTTCACCTCAGTTTAGGTATGAATTTTAGCAATATAGATCGGGTCGGTATGTGTTTGATTTGGGTATGGGTCACTGAATTTGTATTGTATAGAAATAAGTAAAAACGGGTTAAATGAATAAATTTAAATCGGATCATTTTTTATTCGATCTAAACCCGACCTGATCCACCCTTTTGGCGGATCTAACAATAGTGCTCCTAAATCAACAGTAACCATCCTTCTTGTCGAAAATCGATAACATCCTGCAGGTAAAAATCATCTCAATTTTACGGATGAGGATCTCCAATCGCGTAATTGCTCCTGTCAGTGAATCTTGACCATAGGTAAGAATTCCATTTCCATCAATCATAGGTCGGGTTTATGGAGGTATATCAAAGGAAATACCATGCAAAGCGGAAGATTTCTAGCCCTCGACGCACACGAACTTTCAAGAGGCCGTAAATCCTTTATATTGCCCGGCGTGTCCCGATCGGCATCATCGCATACTTAGGCTCACGACTCATTTTGCTAATCTAAGAGCAAAACTACTACTGGCGTTAGAATTTTTAATTAGTCACCTTAAGTTTGCTTAAAACAGCGAAGACCTCCGCAAACCCCGAGTGTCCACCGGGCTATAAAACATAGAATCAATTTCCCGAGTCGTGATAAAGCAGAGCACATAGCAACACTCGCAAAACCACGGAACACGTAGGTTTCGTTGATAAAGTAAGACATGTTAAATCACATCATGTCACGACTTATTCAAGTCTCTCAAAAGCGTCCTTTGACGTGACTCGTTGGACGTCATCCATTACGAGCACACAGGAATTTCTATGCCATCTTTCGTCCATCCATGGAGCTTCAGTTCAGCTTTTTCGGAACATTGAATTTGCCGGCGAAGAAAAGTAGTCTGGGGGCGTGCGAGGGGCCACTGTGACCATCGTTTGTTGCTTTGCGTCCACTTCTTTCTGGCAGCGGTGGACCGCAACCCCTGCGTCGTCGAGAAAAAGTTACTGCGACGAGAAGTTTCCCCGAAGGCCGAAGTAGAAAAACCATTCGTTCATCTCCGGTCAAAGTCGTTGAAGGATTGGAAGTAAAATATGCTGCATTCGTTTTGAAAAGTACGGAAAAAGTTTCATGTGATTTCGAGCGATCTCAATTGTCCGCGCAAACAGTTTTGTAAACATTCTTGATATTTGAAATTAAGGAAGATTTTAAATCTCAGATGCCCGTGAATAAAATTAAGGAAAAATTACCCGATCGATTCTAAATCTATTGTACGACAGCCAATTCAAATCCTAAACTTTCTAATTATGCGAATTTAGTATAAACTTTTTAATGATTTCCAATGTAATGTTTCTGGCAAATTTAGGCTGAGAAATTTTGACGTGAAGATCTAGTCAGCGCTGGCTGTCCTACGTAGCACCGTCGACATCTGATATGGGCCATCGGCGAGGGAAACAACGTCATTTTCCTTGCAAAGAAGGACGTTATCTCATCAAATAAAAAAAACAACCGGTTCGCCCCTAAATGTTGTCGTTTCCCCAAATTAATGCTTAAATTCTTGAATATTCTAGATTTTTTTCTTTTATTTTCTTGTTACTGTTCATCTTCTTCCTCTATATGAACTTTTTATTTAGCTTGTTCCTGTCTCTTTTGAAATCAAATGGGCAACCGTAGCTCCAAGATCTTGACACAACACATGTATCTACCCATGATGCACCGACCTCGGTGGCTCTGAAGTGTCAACTAAACTTGACAACCTCAAGCTCCGCCGCAATGTTGAGCTCTAGTCCCAGACATGGAGGGCTCAACCTTGACCATGGCATCAAGCTCGAGCCCCTAGGTCTAGGGGCTCGAGCTTTGCCGTGACAATGAGCTCAAACCCCAAATATGGCGGCTCGAGCTTTGTCGCAGTATGGAGCGCTTAGATTTGGTACAATTTGTTGCTGAGGATTCGAACGTGGAGGCTCTAAGTCAATTGTCCTTCTCGGAGATTGAAGACCGGTTGTTCTCAATTGAAGACCAACAATTTGAGTGGAGACCTAATTAGTGATTTTGAGCCACGTAGGACGCCATTTGGCCAGACCTGTATTGAGTAATTTTCACTTGCCACGGCAAGATAGACTGCAATTGGTCGCTAAAGACGTTAATCTATTGATCTCGATTTTAGACGCTCCCATTGTTTTATGGCAAATGCAACTGAGACTTAACATAGATTAAGACACACACAAACACGTGCAATAACATGTACATACGTACATGTATCATGCCGAAATACATTCGAATATGGGATTCGAAAATTTTCAAAATTGGCAATAGTGAATTAGGAATCACGAGGCGTGGTACTCTGGTAGATGCCTTGCTTGTCCGTTCCGTTCGTAGCAAGTAGAGATGAGTGGCGCTCCTGCATTTGGCTTTGTCTTTTCCTTTTCCATCGCTTATCATTTGGTCCCTTTACCTGGTACGAACGTAGGACCTATGACCAAAGTATCGATACCCATAAATGAATGACCCAGCCACCTTTATGCACGAGTGAATGGAAGGTACTAAGAAAATTAATCGGACAAAGCATTTGCTAAAGGGGCGACTCAACTTACATGCACATCCCGATTAAAATTCGTTGTACCGATTCATAAATTAATTGAGGATGTATTTATTTCGCGAAAAATATACCATTTCTAAAAAATACTTTTCATGGAGTCATTTTCTAGGAAAATGAGTTCATTTTTCAGTGTTTGGCTAAAACCTAAAAAAGAATTGGAAAGTATTTTTAGTTGCTTAGTGAAGAAAATATGATAGTGAAAATTATAAATTTTATATTATTTCCAATTGCCAGCTTCAGAAAGAAAAGAAAAAAAGAAAGAAAATATATTAACAAATTCAAGATGATCAATTCCGGAGAGTATTTTCACTTTCTTGTATCGGGGAATTCACTTTCCTAATTTTATACATGAATATTTTTCTTGATCAAAAAGTATTTTTAATTGACTTACCATTTTC